AGATATTCAATATATATTCAAAATATATTTAATGGTCCTGTTTCTATATGATGGAGCGTTTGCAGTGGCGTCACAAGGGGGTTGCGGGCCGCACCCGGGTGACACCATTGCAGGGGTGACACTAAAGTGACTGACGGTCATTTTGGTGTCATCCCCTCTAAAAAGTTGCGCACTCGGTCGTGGACCGAGAGCCCGACAGTGTCAGGAGAGAGGAGGGGACCCGGCGGCATACCTCATCCCGCCGGTGAACGTCCACTCCTCTTCTCTGCCGCCAGCAGGCGTCAATCAGATGGCCATGCATGCCCGATGACGTCATTGCGCACAGCCTCGGGTCGCCCTTGCCTGTTTGTTAATGTTTTCATGCAAGATGCACACAACTTTCGCTCAAGATTCACACATTTTTCTAATTGAATATTCTATGAAAAATGTGAGTCTTGGGTGGAGAGATCAATAAATAGACTCCAACATCTAAAACAAAGGAGATTCACCTTTTCATGATAAAGGTCATGGAGCCTTCCCTTCTTAAAGTGAAACTGCAACTTCCTATACCTTATAGCCCAGGAAGGTGCCGTCTTTGCTTCTATTTGGATTGGAGTTGCCCTGGTGCTGTACATGCGATCAGCTATGACACCAGTCATTTGAGGGTTGGAGTGTTCCGTTGAGAGCTGAAATAAGTACACACAACCTTGACAGTTTGCATTACTTATAAGTAACTGTCTTGGGAGACAATATGATGGTGGGTAAAGTTCCTCTTTAAAGATTTTCAAAAGGTAACCCCTGCAGTGGGGCTACCCCTGCACTGCAAGGGTTAACTGCTGGTTTCCCTCTAGGAATGCCAATAAAGAAAATATACTCACTGGATCCTCAATCCCATCCCAGCTAGACCAGTCCCAACAGCCTATTCTCCCCCTGGGCTCCAGCGGTCTAAGCCCCACTGATGTCATCACGTCTAATGCAGGTTCCATTCTCCTGCATTAAACGCGAGGATGTCGTGGGACATACCACAGCCAGAGTAAAGGGGAGAGAGGTGAGTGCTGACTGCTGCCGGACTAAGGCCCCTAGACCAAAACGAGCACCTAACCCTTGCAATGCATGGGGTAGCCCCACTGCAAGGGTTAATGTTATGAAAATCTGGAGTTCTAAGGTATAAGTCTTTTTTTTTTTTTTTTTTTAAAAAGCCCAAAAGGGTT